TCTGCTCCTTCACTGCATTTCTCCAGAATCTTCCACGCTTCTTGCGAAGTTGCAGCACCTGCAATCTTCTCAAAGTGTGCCTCATCAACACATTGATGAATCAAGAAGGTTGCTTTACAATCTTTCTTTTTATTTTCTCTGTAAAGCGCCTTCTGTGCATCTGTCGAGTCTTTGGTGAGCGTTGGATAGCCTTCTTCGACGATTTCTGCAACCTCTTGATAACCCAGAATCGCCTTCATCTGCACACGCCACCGATCCCAGTTCTTTCCATTGAGAACGGGAAGGTTTGCCGGAAAATTCGTACCAGTTGAACCCATCGTGTCTCAAAAAATCCCTTAATCGGAACCTATGCTCTGGATACCAGTTTGTTAGAGCAAAGCCACACCCACACGTGAAAGAGAGAGTATCAGAGGAAAACGTAAAGTGGGAGAAAAAGGAATTCTTATTCTGTATATTATATTTCAGTACAAGGGTGGTATTTATAATGTTTTAATCACTTCTAACAACTTGTTCACTCACCAAAAACAAACATGGGCTTCGCTAAACAAAAACCAAGAAACATGGGCTTTTCAGGCAGACTCATAAATTGAGATCCAAGTATTAAAACTTTCCTCGTGCTTTTGCTTGGGTTCAGTCTTAATATATGGGACACTTCATAAATTGAAATTTTTTACACTTAGTGTATAAATTACAAGGAGCAAATTGAATAGAAAATTTACAAAATCTCCTTCAACGTCGACAAATAAAATCTTATTGTATTTTTCTTAAAGTTATTTTGATCTTTACAAAATAATTTAAAACACTTGATCCAATATTTAATTAAAAGAAGTAGTAAATTAATTACTTAGATCATTTGTTTGTTAAGAACACATCTAGGTGTAGAAGGAAAAAAAATGAAAGTGAAAAGAAAAAAAAATCACATTTTACATCATTTTTATTAGTTTAAAAATCTAGTTGTACAAAAAACATCTCAATTTACAAGAGTATTGCAGTAACTCCCATATAATATTATTTGGCAATCCAATACATTTCGTCACAATTAGTCTCCGAATGAATGTGAAGAGAGCTATTGACTAAATTTGTGTGTAGATTTCAATTTACAAAATAAAGTTTAGTTGAATTTAACTATGTAAACTCAAGCTTAGCTAAAAGTAAAATTAGTATAACTTGATTTATATTTGGATTCTTCTATTTTAAAAGTATTATTATCAAAATAAAACTTATTTTGATGATAATAATCAAAAACACTTTTTCAGATGGATAATTACATAAATGAATATGGATTTTATAATATGGTATATGGTAACATTATTTATTTAATTATTTTTAAGTATATTTGAATTGATAATTATTATTATTACATTTTCAAAAAGAAATAGTGCTAATTTTATATATTAAAAATAATAAATTTACAAAAAAAAATGTTAAAGTATATACATGATTCATGAAACCTAATTTTTAGACTTGCTTTAACGGTCCAAACTAATCAAAACAACACCAATTGATTAAAAAAAAAAAAAACAATAACAACAACAACACTAGTTAAAAAAAATGGTTCACATTCAATTACAATAAGAAAACCTCATTCACGCATGATGCTAAGAGAGGGGAGATAAAACTAGGAGAAGAGAGGTTCATACACATAAAGATATCGTTCTATATAAAGGAGTAGCGTTGTCATTTACATATGAATGAAATCTAAAATACGTTCAATTCTGATACGTTCATTTGTAAAAACATGAAACTAGTAACTTTGCACTAAGCCTACATTTGAAGGAAAATAAAATTCAGTTGAATAGAAAAATGAAAGTCACCGAATAAGAAATAACAATGTTCGATGTGAGATGAACCACAGTTTAAATGTCTAAACGACAAACCAAACATACCCATATATAAACACCATCAAGAAATTACATTGATCAAATTACTTTCTGCAGTATATATTTTACGGACCCTAAAGCCTAACACAGGTGGAATGTTTGATGTTGGACAGCTATAATTTAGCGTTCAAAAATAAAAACATAAGAATTGTTGAAACTCGAGCTTGAGGCGTTAAATGATATGCAGACAAAGTATTTTACTCTTTGAACCATATAAATTATGGATACCATATATTTTATGCTAGTCTTGCTAAAAGAAGAGTTGGATAGAATTTCCGTAGCACATGTATTATTGTAAAACCAAACATGGCGGAAAAAGATGTAAAAATTAAATTATTTCAATAAATAATTATTGCTATAATAAATTTATTAAATTACGACAATAATTTGTTTGAATAAATTTGTTAAAAATTTATTTTCAGATATTCAATTTCTTTTAGATACAACAAAAAAAATCAGCTTTTATACAATAAATCAGTTACAAGAGAAAAAGTTGATAAAAAGATAATCATTAACCACAAATCGTTAAAATTATAGAAAATAGTATTTTTCAAGAAAAAAAAGTCAATCAAATATCTATCTTTTTTTTCACAAACGGCTTTTTTCTTTTAAAACGGCTGAAATTATAGGGAAAAAAATCCTAAACATGCTCTGTCTATCTATTTTATTTAGTCTCTCACTAAAACTTTATTTAAAGAAATATAAAAGAGAAACATTGTCTAAGGGGGATGTATTGGTTTAGGATTTCGTAGGATTTTAAAAGACTTTTTTTGAGTAAAAAAGTCCATTGGTATTCAATCAGGATTTTATGTCACTTAAAAACAATCCAGTGGTATTCAATCTAGATTTTCAAGATTTTTTAAAGAGTCCATTAAAATCCACTGGTATTCATTTGATATTTTTTACAACTTAAAAACAATCTATTGGTATTCAAAAATATAAGAATTTTAAAGGATTGTTGTGTGAGAGGGATTTTGAAGGACTTTCTAGTGTTATCTATAAATACCAGATTCATAAAACAATC